GCTTAGAATTTCTACATAGGTCTTATTTTTTTTAGTTGACAGGCTTAACCCATTCCCTAAATAAATATTTTAATACTTTCTCAGATTTCTAGTATTTTTGTTGTTTTTTGTTTTGCTTTGGTTTGTTGTTGTTGTTTTTAATCTAAGTATTGAACCCAGGACCTTTCCATTGAGCTAAATCCTCAAATCTTTTCTTAAATTATTATTTTTTTATTTTCAGTGTCTTGCTAAGTCACTAAGTTGCCCAGCTGGGCTCAAATTTGTCACCCTCCTGCCTCAGCCTCCCAATGCTGGGATTGCAGGTGCGCGCCACCATGTATGTTCTTAGACACTGATGCTATAGCACTTACCTCCTTTCCTTTGGACCTATGTGGAGGCAATGCAGGCAAATAGTCACAGAAAAAGGAAAACTCAGCACCCTTCCTGACCGGGCCCAATGCATTTGTGAGAGGAGGAAATTGTTCGTCCACTACAGTCCAGTTTTGTACAGACTTAGACCATAGGCGATTAGCTTGCTAAGAGTCGGAGGAAGGGAAGTCCATCAATTCAACTCCTATTCTTTATTTAAAAATTATTTGAGACAGTATCTCACTATGCCCTGCAAGCCAGCCTGGAACTTGCAGCAATCCTCCTGCCTCAGCCTCCTGAGTGCTGGGCTTACAGATGTGCACCACCACACCTGGCCCAACTGTCACTTCATACTTCTCTTCTGCTTCAGCACCTGCTTCGTGGGACACCCAAAACTGTAGGATCTCGCTCCTGAAAGCCTGGGTGACCTCCTTTCCACCCCTCTTCCTCCGAGTGTTGCTCTAACTCAGGGCACACACTCACACCCTGCATGTGCGCGCGCGCGCACACACACACACACACACACACTCCTACACATCACTTCCTCCCCACTGAGTTCATTCTTGGCTTCCTGTATGTGATGTCCAGCTGCCCGGATGCTCTACCCCATCCTTGCTGACCAGCTGGACTCCTCCTCCAGGAGGCAGTCCCTGGCTCCCGGCTCGTGTCTGCCCTCGTCATGTGTCCACCTGGTATCTGGCCTATCCACTGTTGCAGAATCTCTAGGAGTCCGAGTAGAGGTCTGTAAGGGAGAGAAGTGTTATTTCACCCAGTTTCTCCCATCCTGAGCCTGGGCAGGTGCTCTGTTCATTTGGAAAGTTAGATTAAGAAGCAGCTCAAGTGGATACAGAACTGAACAGGCAAAGAAATGTGAAGTGCACCCTAGTGGAAAACTGGCAGTCACCACCGCACCCCAGAGTCTGACCAGAACTCACGGATGGACTTTAGGACTTGGCATTGGGGTCTGCAACTCTGCGGCTGGAGTTCTGCAATGTTGCGGGACAGGGAAGCCTTTGCCTGGTGACCCTTCACTTTTCCTGGTTTTCTAAGAGGAAATCCCCCGCAATCCTCCATAGCCTGGAGGTTTAACACAGCTTTCTCCTTCCCTCCCTCCTGGGGAGTCACTGGCAAGCCAGATGTAAAGTCAAGCTGAAATCTCAGGTCACTATTTCAGGGCTAAGGTAAGCAAGGATTAGAATTGAACATAAATTAATGAGGTTATGACCTAGTAAAAGCTGCACCACTGTGGATGCATGTGGAGATTGAGTTTTGCCTCACTAAGTATTTTTGAGGATCGATAAAAGTTAATACTAATGCTTCAAAAGGGAGTAGGAGGAGAAGGCCACACTGTAATTTCTAGACATGCTGAGTGGGCAGCTCCAAGGGATGGAAGAGTGACCACGCCCCTGCCCAGAGCAGGAGTGTGCTGGCAGACTCGTGGTTCACCCACGGCCAAGAGGCACCATGGTTTTAGGCCTTTCTCCAATTGAATCATAAGCAACATCATGATATCAAAAAATGACTCCCTGTTTGGAGCAGGTGGGTATTAAAAGAAGGATGAGTGTATCCATTAGCTTTCCCCCTCCTGGGAGGAAATACCCAACACCTACACTGAAAGTAGGAGAAAGTTATTTGGCTCATGGTTCAGGGGATTCAGACCATGGTTAGCTGCTCGAAGGCAGGAATATCATGGTGGAAGGGTGTCAGGGAGAAAAGCTGCTCAGTTCATGGTGTCCAGGAAGCAGAGCAGGGAACAGTGCCAGAGAAGAAGGGGAGGGACCAGATACTAACCTCAAGGTCTCCCTCCATGACCACCCAGGCACATTCAGAAGTGTGCTCTGTTAATCCCCTGGGCAGCAAAGCCAATCCAGTTGACACTAAGCAATGAAGCTTAACCATCATAGTGAGTTTCTTTTTTAGCAGATTTAGTTTCAGTTGTTTTGAAAAATTATTGTTTAAATTTAAAATTTAAAAAGGAAGTTAGACGGCTTTTGTTATTAGTCCATGTTTGCAATCCATAATGTCTACATTCCTGTGTGGAGTTGGTGCACCTACACAACACGTCTTAATTCTTCTTTCATTGTCTTTTCCTCTCTTCCCTCCCTCTCTCCATCTCCTGATACCTTTCCTCTTTGAGAAATATCTATCTCCCTATTTCCTTTTATTTATCTTTTATTTTGCTCTTTACGTATAATTTGGGGTTTCTCATGTAAGAGAAACCATGAAATCTTTAAAATGTGTCTGATTTATTTCACTTAAGATTATGGTCTCAAGGTACATCCATTTTCCTACAGATGACTGAAATTTGTGCTTGATGGCAGAGGAGTTTCCATTGTGTATGAATACCACATTTTCTTTATCCATTCATCTCTTGATGGACATAGTTTCTATTTTTATTTCTTCTTTTGAGAAATATCTATTTAGATCATTTGCCATTTTCAGGTTAGACTATTTAGGGCTTTTTCATTGTTGCATTTTCCTCAGTTTCTTATCAATTCAGGGTATTAAGCTTTTGTTGGATGAATTGTTTGCAAATATTATTTCCCTTTGTGTTGGTTTCTCTTCAGTTTATTGTTTCCTTTGCTGTATAGAAGCTTCTCAATTTATCCACTTTTGCTTTTGTTGTATGCACTTTTGAGGACTTATCCATATCATTGCCTGTACTGAAGTGCTTTACTATGTTTTCGTTGAGTAGCTTGAGTTTGAGATCTTGCATTTTAGGTCTTTAGGCCATTTTGAGTGGGTTTTGTTGTAGGGGAGAGAGGCAGGGGTCAACTTCGGATTTTCTGCATATATCTATTTAGTCCTTCAAACATCATTGTTGAAGAAGTTACCTTTTTCCCCAGTGCTTGTTTTTGGTACCCATATCAAAAGTCAGTTGGCTATCAATAAAGGGATTTATTTCTGATATCTCTACTCTGTTCCATTGTTCTACATGTCCTTAACATTTTGCTGTCACCGTGGCTTTAATTTTGGTGTGAAGATAATGTTGCCTTCATAGAATGAATTTGGAAGAGTTCTTTCCTTTTCTGGGATAGGTGGAAAAGAATTTGAGTTAGTTCTCTAGAAGTTCTCAAGGAACCTTTCTGGTGCAGGACTTTTCCTTTAGGGAGCTTTTTAAATTACTGATTCCATCTCACTATTCATTCTCATTCTGTTCAGGTTTCCTGTTTCTTCATGGTTCTAATTTGGATGGTTATGTATGTTCAGAAATTCATCCACTTCTAGGTTTTCTACTTGGGGGCATTTATCTGCTCATAATGATCCATTATAATTCTGTGCTATTAGTTGTAATGTCTTCTTTTCATCAATAATTTTATTTCTTTTGGTCTTCTTTCTTTTTCCTGTTTAGTCTAGCTAAAGTTTCACTGATTTTATATTATCAAAAGATCAATTCTTTGTTCCATAGGTCATTTATATTATTTACCCTTCTTCTCACTTATTGCTGCTCTGAATTTTGTTTCCTTCAATTTTGAGTTTTGCCTCCTTTTGCTTTTCTAGTTCATTGAGATTGAACTAAAATCATTAGGTTATTTGAAATTTTCCATTTTCCCTTAGATTTTTACTTAATTGCAAACATCTTTCCTCTTAGTCCAGCTTTCACAGTATCCCATGAGTTTCAGGATGTTGTATTTCTATTTTCATCTGTTTGAGAGAATTTTAAATTTCTTTTGATTTCTTCCATGACCCCTTGTCCATCCCATAGCACACTGTCAATTTTCTGTGCATTTTTATAATTTCTGAAGTTCCTTTTGCTGTTCATTTCTAATTTTATTCCACTGTGTTGCAAAATGACATGATACGAATTTGATTTTCTTGAATGTGCTGAGACTTGTGTTGTGGCTTAACATGTAGGCTATTTGAGAGAACACCCCAGTCCTGTTGTGAGAATGTGTGTGCCCAGCTCTGGATTAGATGCTTCTGCAAATAGCTAAATTCATTTGATCGGCAGTACAGTTGAACCCTGCTGCCTCTCTGTTGGTTTTCGCATCTGAACGACCTATTGACAAAGTGAGCATCTGTCCCTCTATGGCCCCTCACCCTCCATCTCGTCATATTTCTTTTTATCAGATGACTGCTCTGGCCATAGGAGCAGAAACATCTACAATTACAATGTCTTCTTACTGGGCAATAATATGGCAACTGTCTTGTGTCTTTTTATATTTCTGTCCTTTGTCTATTTTGTATGACATAAGCACAGCTTCTCTCTCTTCTTTTTTGTTGAAGTTGCATGGAAAATCCTGGGGGCAGGGGGAATAGTAAGTGAACAGGAGAGAACAGTTCCAGGTGAAGGATCCACAGAGTTGGGCTTGGGGCAGAGATGTCAGAATTCGGGCCGAGACTCAGAGGAAGAGAGCAGATGGAAACCAGAAACACAAGGGGTTCTCCGCAGCTCGGCTCCACAGGAAATACACACAGGGTAGCAAGAGGCAGTTGATCTACCTGCACCCAGGAAGGTGTCTGCTCCCGGAGCTCTGCCACTCTGGCTGACACTGAGCAAACACCTCCGTCATCCTTAAAGCCCTGCCCGGGCTCCTGCTGAGGCGAACGTCTGCCTGCCAGGCTCCAGTGAGGGTGAATGTGCTCTGCCAAGCATCAAGGTAAATATCAACACACATTTCCGCTACTGTCTCCCTCTTCTTCTCTCACAGCTTATCCAGCCCTGAAAGGGTTCCAAAGTGACACATCCCGAGACTTCTCTCGACTTCCCTTTTCTGTTAGAGAAGGCCATATCCATGTGAAATGATTCAGCTGCACTATGGACCATCAGTTTCGGGAGAGATGGCCGAGGAGCTATGGCAGAGCTGGAAATGGTATGGAAAACATCTTTGAGCAGCCAAAATTACAAGTTATAGCCAAAGCACCTGTGAAGTGGGGATTACAATCATGCTTTTGTTCATTTGTTATTTGTATCCAGCATGTTTTTGTTGAGTCTGTTATGTGAACAAATCATGTGTAAATGCAGGTTCTGGAGTGCCAAACATCACAAAATAGAATAAAACAAGAGATGAAGGTACAATGTCCCCATGAAGCAGACATTGAAAGGGAAAACTATGTAAGGATATTCTAAAACTATAAAAACTACAGAAGAGTATACTGTACAAAGACACATCATAAAGGGGGCATGGGAGCAGCTCAGTACTGCGTGGACTTAGAGGTCTCTACAGAGCATAGGATAGGCTTCCTGCAAGAGGCACTGAGGTGAGTTAGGGAGAAGAGGGATAATTTTGTAACCCTCAAGGCTTTGAGTTAATGCTGAGTGAAATGGGGGGATTTTGGAGGCTTTGAGGAGAATCTGCCTTGTGCAGCCTCTCCTGGAAGAGACAGAAGGGCTACATCCCACTCGCTGCTGCAGGTGCCATCTCCCTGTCTCATCAGTGTCTCACTGGCACTAGTTCTCACCTGAGCCCCACAGCCTTGGGTACTCACTTGTCTGCCTTCTATAACTAAGATGCAACCATGAAAAGAAAAAACTCTGCATCCTCCATGCCTCCAGCATTGTAGCTTGGAGAATTTAGTTTTTCTCCATTTTATAGATGGAAGAGCTAAGTTTTAATGCATAAATCTGGTCTGTGTATTGGTGTGTCCATATGTGTGTTTGCAGGGGAAAGTGCAGCCCAGGGTAGTCTAGCCTTTGGCAGTGGGAAGGGGAAAAGGCCCCTGACTGAGATTAGAGGTTCTATAGTTGAGAAGGGGTCTGTGTCCTTGGTTGAGCCCTTTGAGAAGTCAACACTTGGAGATGAAGGCAGAAGGAGCCCTTCTACACTGTTGGTGGGAATGTAAACTAGTACTATGGAAATCAGTGTGGAGATTCCTCCAAAACATAAAACTAGAAATGCCATCTGACCCAGCTATTCCCCTTCTAGGTGTCTTACCCCAAAAAGTTAAAGACATCGTATCACAGTGATCTGTGCACACCCATGTTTATAGCAGCACAACTCACAATAGCTAAATTTTGGAAGTGTCCTCTATGTCCATCACCAGATGAATGGATAAAGAAAATGTGGTGTCTACACACCATGGAGTACTCCTCCGCCATAATTCGATGTATAAACTTGAGTCATTTGTAGGAAAATGGATGCACCTAGAAACCATAGTGTTAAGTGAAGTAAATCAGACACACAAGCTTCAGGATTGACGGTTTCTCTTACATGAGAAATCCAAATTATAAATAAAATGTAAAATAAAAGATAGATAATAGGAATTAGGGAGATAGATCTTTGTTAAATGGGAAGTGGACCAAGAGATGGAGGAAGGGAAGAGAGAGAAGGAAAAGAAGATGAAAAAATAATTCAGATGTGTTGTGTACATGCACCAAGTCCCCACGATAAAAGTAAACATTATGTACTGCAAACACAGACTCATAAAAAATTAAAATATCCAAGGCAGTGCTGCTTAGACCTGTCCACCATTGACAGCATCTAGAAGGGGAGAGGGTCTTATAAGTCCCTCATGCCATTGCCGCTCCCCAACACGGGGTGTGGGCAGACAAGCAGACCTCGTCCCACCATGGTGTGAAGGCTGCAGGGTAAGTGCTGCACCTCCAGCCGCATGCAAGTGGAGTCATGGGAAGTGACGTGGCCAGGTGCACTGAATCAGGGAGCCCTCGGTGCCATCCCCAGTGGGTTGTGTGGCCCAGCGGGTACAGATCCCTCAGCAGTGCACATGAGTACTCAGGTCCCCTGACTGTACCTGGGCGTCTTGCAAGCTCTGCCACCCACGGAGGCTGAAGCTCAGCATCTGCCATGACAGAATTTGGGCTTGAGCTCAGCATGGTGTCACACGCCTGTAATCCCAGCACTTGGGAGGCTGAGACAGGAGGATCACTGTGAGTTCAGGCCAGCCTGGGGTACATAGTGAGTTTGAGGCCAGCCTAAAATACATAGTGAGATCCTGTCTCAAAAACGAAAGGGAAAAAGGAAAGAAAGGAAGGAAAGAAGAAAGGAAAGGAAGGGAAGGGAAGGGAAGGGAAGGGAAGGGAAGGGAAAGAAAGCTAAGGAAAGAAAGGAAAGGAAAGGAAAGGAAAGGAAAGGAAAGGAAGGGAAGGGAAAGGAAAGGAAAAGAAAAGATAAAAGCAAAGCTAGGGCTTGAAAGGTGACCCGCCTAGAGTTAAGGCGTAGTGTAGACGCTGCACTTTTATACCTGCAAGGGGGGGCTCAAGCTGACCTCTCTGTGTGCCGCTCTGCATCTGAGCACCACAGAGAGCTCCTAGGCTCCAGGTATCTGCTCCACAGTGTCAGTGCAGCCTGGAGTGACCTACCAGTGTCCGGAGACAGGCTCAGAAGGGGACTTGCAGAAGCCATGGTGGAGCTGAGGATGAGGGCGCTGGGACAAGATGAAGCCCAGAAGCTGAGAGATGGGGTTTGGAGAGGCCCCATAGATAAGGCAAGGGGGCATAAAGAGAGGAGTGAGGCAGCATCCTCCAGTCCATGCTGGGAGGTGGCTTCCGGCTGGGACCCGGACTGATCATGGTGGTCAATGTGACTGGATTAGGAAACACCTAGCTGATGTGTAAAGCACTTCTGGGTGTGGGGGTGGTTCCACAGATGATTGGCATGCGGCCCAGCCAACTGAGGGGGAAGACCCGCCCTAATCATGGGTGGCACAAACCAATAAACTTGCAACCCGGATAGACAGAGGCTGAGGAGGAAATCAACTACTGTTTACGGATTTTGTGTTTGGTGTTGAATGTAAGAGTTGTTTGCCTAATTCTGACTTTGGTAAATTCTGAAGAATTTCTTACATTTTGCTCTTAAAATTTTGTAATGATACATTAGCCTACAACCCACTGTGGGCTAATTTTTGTTTAAGATGGAAAGTCTAGGTGGAAGAATCATTGTTTTACATGTAGATGTCTAATTGTTCATCAACTGCCTTGTTAGAAATGTGTTTTGCAGAAAGCCACGTTGTTTAACGAGGTACCTTATCCAACAGCTTTTTAGTTGCCCTGTGATCTTAAAGATATAATCTGAATCTATTTTCTAATGCTTCAACTATTAAACTCTTAGGCCTCTTTTGTTATACAGTTTATTTGCTTTTTTATAAAAATTCTCAAGTGTCTGCTGACATTTTAAAAAATTTTAGTATTTTTATTTTATTACATTTCAATGAATGTGGTAGATACACATTTTAATTTCTGGAATTTTTATTGTTTACCTAACTTAGTTCAATCAGAAAGTGTTCCATAAGTATTTGAAACAAAAGTGCTCTGTACTAGATGTATGCTATAGATTATAGTATGTGTTTATTAATCACCCTCAGTAATAAAATCCTGTATGTCCTCTTGTATTGGAAAGGGATATCAGTTTTTACATTGTGACAGGAAGACAATGGTTGATACTCTGTGAGTGACATGGAATTTATGTAAGATAACATATATTATGAAAAGAATAGTAGGAGAAAATCATAGTAGAATGGAGTGCAGCCTTCTTGCTTTAGACGTATCTGAGAGATCCTCCCTTGCCCTGGAAAACCAATTTCATGATTCCCAGTATAAAATTCCTGACCTGTGTCCACATCCCTGTGACTGCCCTTACCAGGGGCCAGTAGACGTCTCTCTATGGACTCACACATTCATCCATCTTCTTTGCACGTGAGGTGCATGTCTACCAGATACCTATTGCATCTATTTCCAATCAAAATCACATAATTGAATTCAACTTTATGCAAATTCATGATGAAAAGGAATCTTTGGTAACTATAGTTTTAATGATAGATGCAATAAGTACAAAACAAATTTCAAATGTTGTATGGAATTAAGTAGTGGCCTGGTAACTACCAAATCTTGAGGAAAATCAGAAGTTCCTGGAAAGATGTACACTTACATTTTCAAAGAGTACTGAAAATCTTGCTTTTTATTAAATAAGATCCACGGGAAATAGTGAAAAGTTCATTCTGTCAGTTTATATGCATGAGAATGCTTGCATTTCTGCTGTGTTTTGATTCTTGCAACTCTGGTTTTAATTTTGTTATTAGGAGGGATAGTAAGCAGTAGTAAATTTTGCTGTATATTACATACCTACTATTTCAAGAATTCTGAAGTCTTCTACCCTTCTAATAGCAATGGAAAAAAAGAAAATTTCTGTATTAATATTCATGTTACACATTCCCTGTGTGTGTGTATGCACATGTGTGCACTTTTATTCTTCATCCATCTCCTGAATCCTGAGTGTGTCTCTAGGCATGGATCTAAGTTCATCCAACATCTCTGATGGAGCAGTGGAGAATTATGCCTCCCTTTGTTTCATGCCACACAAAGAGAAAGGGATATATTGAGAGAAAGAATGACAGTCATAACACAAAGCCTCCCTCAGACAAATATCTTCTGCTTCTGAGCTTTGCAATTCTGTAGTGAATCTGCCCAACATGATGTGGAAGGGAGCTTTCTGTAAACGATGGCTTTCTCCTCTCCCTCACCTCCCTGATTTTGGCTTGACACACATTGGCCTCCCTGTGTCTTATAAGAAGATAAGCTCACCCCACCCCCGCTGAGATTTCAGCATACACTCTAACAACTTACTGAAGCAAACGCTTCCTTAAAATAGTAGGAAATGACAGTGAAAAAAAAAACATTTACATAATAACACCAGAATTTTCTCTACATGTGACTTGTGTGGTTAAAAGCCTTCCTGTTCAACAGTAGATCAGAGTATTCTGAAATGAAGATCTGTAGCCAGTGAGAGATAGAGGAGAAAAGAGACATCAGACATGGAGGGGAAAGGACAAAGGAGACAGAGGAAAAGGAGCAGAAGGAAAAGATGAAAAACAGTCTCAAGGTGTCTGATCTACTGGGTTAGGTTGCACTGGCAGATTTTTAGTGTAATGGTATTTAAGGGGTTTGGTTGGTGTTGGTGCTGGGCTCTGTAGAATGGAAATTTTCGGGGACTTGAGCATTTCAGTGAGACCCTCCTTTGCCTCAAGTTCATCACCCCAATATAAAAATTCTGGCCAGCAGGCTGGACTCTGCAGCACACAGGAGGAAGGGCTGAGGGTAAAGGCAGCCTGGTCCCCCGAGCAGGACCTAAACACACTCTTCTCATAGACGGAGTGTTCTTACAGAACTGGTGGTTCTGGGCAAACCCTCCCACCCACATGCAACTTTTCTTTGTGAACTGACCTCAGATATTTCA